GAAATTGACTGGTACTCTAAATTGACTGGTTTGATACATACATACATACATACATAACTTCACGCCTGTCTACGCCTGTCTCCCATGGGGTAGGCAGAGACTCTGGAACGCCAATTAATACGATTCCTACATACCTCTTTCGCTTCATCAACAGTCATCAATCTTTTCATGCTCGTCAATTAAGGGTACTTTTAATTTGGACCTTCTTTAATATATCGCCAATCTGGTCACTATATGTCCATCTAGGCTGCCCGCTACCGACGACCCTATTCATATCCGCTCTGTATATAGAGGTACTTCTTTCGTTATTATACTTTCATCCATTCTTTCTCTATGTCCAAACCAGGTTTGATATACTTACCTACTATATTGTAAAAAGAGTAACCTATGGAGTTTCTCCTCTCCATAAGAATCTGGAATAACACATGGAATGAGCAAATAGCTTCACTGTTCAAAAGTGCCTTTCTGGTCTAATAATAAATGATTTTGACTTGACTTGACTTGATTAAAATTAATCCACGTTTACTAAGCCAGTTGGATATCACATTCTTAAAGGTTCAGTCAGGATCAGGTTTAACAGATAGCCCTACTGCCCCGTCTCTGTCTAATATAGAGTCTCTTACTGCTCTTGCATTTACGATCGCTCGGAAAGAGTAGCATGTCTTTTAGCAAGCACTAAAAATATTTTTTCATGCTCCGTTTAAAACATATGTCCATACGTTAGCGTTTTTCGATTCACATGTTCATTGATATTTTCTAGGACTTCCATAGGACTAGGACCCACCATAGGGCTTTAACTAGACCTTTCCAATCTCACAGTATTTCACAACCGACACCTATATGATAAATTAAGTGTACATATAGTGCCGTTGTCCCGGCGACTGATATATTATATAGTGTTCCTATTCGAAGCTGAGACCACAAGTCGTACATCAAAGATGACGTATTGCAAGAGCAAACAATATTACTGCAACATTGCTTTTCACTATATGGTAGGCGCTAGGATATAACAGTACATTCCATGTCAATATAAGACCTAAATAAAGGTAGTTAGTTAAGATACGATCGCACGGTTGGCGCGGTAGTTGGGCAACTGGCTGTCGCGCAATGTGTCTCGGTTTGATTCCCGAACGGAACATCACTTTGTGTGATCCACAGATTGTTGTACCAGGTCTGAGTGTCATGTGTATGTGAACTTGTATGTGTGCCACGGCACAGGAGAAAATCATAATGTGGGGCAACGTTTAAAAAAAATAAGATTGAAATGAAATCATTTTTATACTTATATTTTAATATCATAACTTTCGTGATACATGCTAACTGTTTATGCTAAATGTTACGGCTTTCCTGTGTAACTGTTCAGAATAAATCGAAGAGTTTCAAGCCATAGTATAAGCTCACAATCTAGGACAACATTGCGTGACAAACGCCTCACTGGTCAACATAAATTAATCGGTTAATCCGTCGTAATCCATGTCATTTAAAGTGCAAGGAAATGTTTATATAGTCTTTTGTTTTATAAATCTTGTTTTCTCTTTTCAGAGTACAAAAACTACTGGATGCAGCTCGTTATTCATATATTCTGCCGACACACAGAGCTACCATCTACTTGATAGGAGTCGTGATGGCGTACCTTATGAAAACAAAGAAATTGAACTTCACACTCACCAGCGTAAGTACCTAGTATTAATCTATTATATAAGGTAGCAATAAATACTAACAATTGCGTCTTAAATCACGTTGATAGGTGTTTAAGTTTCAATAAGCGTCATAGTTATAAATTTATTATCCTTAAAAAATGTTAGCTATGTATTATATTCTACTGCAAACACTAGAAATCTAGAATGCAATTAACTGAATTAGAAATAGATTAAAAAATGTAAGTCATACGGCGAACATAATTGTTATATTACTTTACTAAACTGCCTCGTTGGCCGAGTGGTCGCAAGTGCAACTGCTGGGCAAGGAGTCTCGGGTCCGATTCCCGGTTCGGGCAAAGTATTACTATATTTATAAAAAAAATCTCAGTAGGAGCACGGAATCTGGAGTTGTGCCCGATATATCGCAATAGATTGACACCCTATTACATGGGACTCATAACATAAACGGTGAAAGGGTACAGTGGCATTAAGTGCTGTAATATGCACCTCTGCCTACCTCTTCCGGGATAAAAGGGGTGATGTTATCTTACTTTACTAAATATCATCCTAGACTCTAGACTATTCTCTGTTTCTGTCCAAAAAATATCAGTCAGTATGACAAATCTTTCAAACTTGAATTAATATTTTTCAGAATCAAACAAGACTCCTATGGACGTTCTGTTTGGTGCTGATGACGGCGACCATCGCGACCCCATACAAGTGGGGGCTAGAAGGTTACCAGTACGAGCACTTCCCCGCTGCAGTGTTCTCAGCAGTATCACCAATACTATGGGGAGTGTTCATGTGTGTGTCACACTGGGCCATAGCTAATGATTATGCTGGTAAGTTCCTAAAATCTTGATTAACTAGATAATGTTTTAACCCGTGATTATAGACCCCGGCGTGGCTTGAAATTGGTTGAGTAGTTTAAGTAAAAGTAAGCGAGTGTAGAAATTTGTTTTTAATCACGTCATAATTATAACATCCACTACTGGACTGTGAGCCTCCTTTTCGTAAGAAAATTTGCTATTATCTCCTCCCTTTTGGGAGGAGGGGATCAAGCAATGACGTCTCTCGCCTTGGATTAGGCGAGAGGGAGTATCAGACTCTTACTAACTACAAACCACCACGTTAATACTCCTACTGTTTGAGCCGGAGCTCTGGCAACCTGTTAGGCTTTCCGCGGCTTCGTATTATCTCTTCCCTTGGCAGGCCAATTGGAGACTGCAGTTAAAAGAGTTCAGATTTATCATCGACAAATAAGACAATGATTAGTAAGTTAAGAGCTAGAACATAATATACTTTTTTTTCAAAATTGATATCCAAAAATGTCTATTACTACTCATTAGATGGCACTGATGTCCAGTCTGTGAAATGTGTAGGTAGTCGCTAAGTCAACGGCTTCATCTCCTACGGGAATAGTAGGGATGTCAACTAATATTAATTACTTAGCAGTCACCTCATGAATTATTTTAATGTTCTTGCTTTCAAAACTCACTCTTATGTCCACAGGTATAGGAACCGCATTCGTGGAGTCGCGAGTGTTCAAGTTCTTCAACAAGATTGCGTATAGCGTGTACCTGACGCAGTTTCCCATCTTCTTCTACAACGTGGGAGTGCAGAGACATGCGGAGTATTACTCGCCTTTATTACTGGTGAGTATTTTTGACTCTATTTCTATAGCAACAAAGTTCTTGTTTGTATCTAAATCTAAAGGAGGACAAACTTTAATATAATTTATTTTGTCTGGGATGGAGGCGAAGGATCTCTGAATTTATAACTACAGAAAATTTATCTAGCTAGTTACTCTTATGAAACTTGAAGGATTGTGATCTAAATATTTCTTTCCAGGACTAGCAGCAAAGGCTAGTTTGATTTATTATTAAAAATAAACTCCATTTACTAATTTCTATATTATTATTATTTCAGGTGCACATTCCAGAAGTGTTCACAGTGACAGCGATATCAATATTGACGACAGTGGCCATCGAGATGCCTTTCAATCAAGTCTACAGGATATATTTCGGTTAGTATTGAATACCTATTTCATTTATAAAACTGAACGTAGAAGCAAAATATTTAAAATCACTGTCTACAGAATATCAATAATATCACAAACATAATGTAATAATATTTTTAACTAGCTTCTGCCCGCGACTTCGTACGCGCAATCCCCGTTTTCTCCCGTTCCCGTAGGATTTTCAAGACTCTTATCGGTCATAAGAACCTTCTCTTGACTATAATAAACACAACAAAAAAATCAGCCAAATCGGTCTAGCCGTTCTCAAGTTATGGCGTGGCAACGGGAAACGGGTTACATTTTTATATATGTATATATAGATTAGCAGCCCGTCCCGGCTTCGCACGGGGTAGACAATTATTTATTTTTGGAAATTTGGATTTTTGTAGTGACATTACTACAATAGTTGGACATATGCTACCGCGGAGTTTTTTGTAGACATTATGATGTTCTTCATATTGTTGTACATTATTTTGTTCTATCGCTAATAGTTTCGGCAGCGCTTTCGACGAAAGACATTTTAAGACTCATATATGTTACATTTCTTTCGTCGAAAGCGCTGCCGAAACTATTAGCGATAGAACAAAATAATGTACAACAATAAAATTTGAACAATGTTACATTGTTCAAATTTTACCCAGGATCCCTAATTTTATTCAAAATGAAATGTAGCCTATGTCAAATTGGAAGAATGTAGCATTCTATTGGTGAAAGATTTTTTTATATCGGCCCAGTACTTTTTGAGCCTATTCATTACAAACATACAAACATACAAAATTAGGTGCAAATCTTTCCTCTTTATAATATTAGTATAGATATAGATTACATTTTGCTCTTTCGTTTTTAACAACCATAGTTGATACCGCCATGATCAACCCGTTTCCGTCCACTACTATATCATCATCATCATCAGCATCATCAACAGCCTATAAATGCCTACTGCTAAGCAAAGCCGGTTCGCGATTTCAAACTCATAATTAGAAATGATAAGCCCAGGTTTCCTCACGATGTTTGCCTTCACCGTTTGTCAGTGGATGTCAGGATTCAAATAAGAATAATTTGTGTCTCTCTTTAAAACAAACCATGAATAAAAGTCCTCCCAAACTAATATTTCCTTCTTTTGTTTTCCAGGACAATCACAGAAGAAACTAAAAGAAAAATGATTCAAGAAGAGACTAGTGCTGTGCAATAGTTGTGTATTATAATATTATTTTATTGTAGTTATAGTCAGACATCACGGAAATTAGCTAGTAACTTTTGACTATTTTTGTACTGTTATTATAAAATTTAATGTAAGAAAATGTAAACGATAAGTTAATAAAAATAAAAGACAGTTTATAAAAAAATATTTGATTTCTTTTATTTTTTTTCATCCCACGCCATTCATACATAATGTCGTCTCGTTTTTATGATAAAAATGGATTACAAAAGAATGCCAGTTATAAATGCATAAATAAGAATTTCATGTTTTAAATTAAATAAGTTCTATTTAATTTATTTTCATTTCAACCTACTTAATTGTAGTCCTTTACGTATTTAATTTTATACATAACTAAGTTATAATCTATGTATGTATGTACAAATTGAAACGTACAATACTACTTACAAAACTAAGAAACTTACAATAAATACGACTTCTGTTTGATCATTTGATAATTTACATTCGACAGGATAAGACTGGTCTTATCCTAGTTCACTTAAAAATCTTGAATTACCTCGAAATCTCGTAGCTAAAAACTAACTCGCAGTTAAATAACGAAATGTTCACAACCTCGTATAAATCCCTTATCCTCCTATGACAACGTATTTTCTGATTGAGGGATGGGGTGGGAACGATTTTAGTCTAGAATTGGCCCTTTTGTACCCTAAAAGACACGTCACATGCTATCTGTTCTTCAAACATGTCCAACATCTCTAGGAAAGCCCGGCTATTCAACAATAAACTGTCTGTTAATTAAACTTGAGTTTATTATCCACTGTCACTATATCAACTCTTAACAGTCACTCTGGTATCTTCGTCACAGTTGGGCGGGATCCTCCCTGGCATGCACTTACACCTGATGTTGTTTTTATGGTCTCTCATGAGCCAGGAGTTCTCTGGACAAGGACCTTGTGTGTTCAGGATGTGACAGGTTCCATTGTAGGGGGCTGTGCCACGACGTGTGGTGCAGGCTTCCACCTGGAATATAGGAGACATTATCTTCTGTAGTGCAAGCATATGAGCATAACAAAATAAGGTAGCGGACAAATTATAGAATTGATTCGCTAATCTATGTTGTTTTCCTGGTAGCGTCGGTTCAATCTCACCGGTAGTATGGTATTAAAACTTTAGAAATTTGTATCAAACATAAAATTTCGAATGCAAGGACTAGGACAAGATTGAACATAGGCACAATTATTTGAAACCTAATGAAGTTTTCTGAATGTGCCTAAGCGATATGAACCGCAAGTTTAAAGGCATGTGAAATGTTCAAATAGTGTTATAGTTTATAGTCTAGTATTGTTATGAAGAAATAAAAGGCAGTCCAAAAACGAACTAACGTCTAAACGCACCTCGCGCCGACTGCAAGCCCCATTTCCACACGCACACACCCCATTATGGCTTAGTCCGTCTATCGCTGGTCGAGCTTCAAAGTCGAAAGCCACGACTTCACCAGCTGGACATGGTTCAGGAGTACCAGGTCGATAACAGCGACGACGTTCTGGTACATACAGACGACCTCTAGCGCAAGGCACCTGAAATAATGCGAAAGGAATTGGTCATTTTTAGCATCTGAATCTGAAGGAACGAAAAAAAAATTCTATTGTGTTGCATGATTATTGGACAAAAATTGGAGGTTTTCTGCAAATGGTATCCCAAAACTCCTAATACAACTCTAAAGGAGATTGAGCACGAATTGAAAGCGATTCCATCTACATCATCATCATCATCATCACCTGAAGAAAGGCTTCGCCCTTACTCCTCGACGTCTAATGACGATTCGGTTCGCTACCTGCATCCACTGGCTACCCGCAACTCGGACCATGTCGTCTAGATGCACACCAAATTCTAGACCTCACCTTAGTACATCGTCCGCCTCTAGCAATCATCTCATCTTGGGCGCAGGGTCCTCTGGTGTACAGTCGATAACACACTCCATCAGAAGCACGAGCATGGAAGCTCTTGCATCTACATTCAGCTCGGGAGCCGTGCGGAGCAACCTCGGCTATGGAGAACGTGTGACCTCTTGGACATGGGCCCAGAGAATCTGAAATTTGGGAAGAACGTGCATATATTAAAAAATGATCAAATAAATAAGATCAAGTTACAAAAATGGATTTAAAGAATTAAAAATTCAACTACGTTTCTTATGACCGTTTTTACCAAGTCTTTATTTGTACTGTTAGGTGTCACTTATAGATTGGTAAAAATCAAACCCATTTTTCAAATTTTGTGTTTCTGTTGTGTTCTAATATAATCATCTAAAATAATAATTTACTACTACTACTACTTCTACTATTACTACTACATCTAAAATACATACTACACCGCTAAAATAGGGGGCATTTATTCCGATGCTGATTCTGGCTGCGATGGCTGAGTCCGATGAAGGCAATCTATTTTTTTTTGTGGCATCGAGCATTTACTTCTTTACTTAAACAAGAGTTTATTTATTTTTTTCTTGTATAGAAGCACTATTTTATATGGATTGTCAGTATACATATGTGAGGACCATGTCAGACTTAATATATTTGTTTACTCTTGGTTTTGTTTTTTATTTTTTATTTTAGTACGTTCTGTTATTTGTATTTTGCGTCAGGTATGTCTTTATATTATTCTCACATGTATGTACAATATTGGAATATGTATCAGAGCAATGGAAAACAGACTTTTTTTAAAAGAGTAACAAATGGAGTTTCTTGCTCGTTCTTCTCCACTCGAATCGACATTTTGGAACGAGCGCCTAGCTTCACTGACGGATAGTCTGACAGACTATTATTTATTTCATATTTGTTGACGTTTAAAAGTACCAAATTATGGTTTAATTGAAATAAATGCTTTTGAGTTTGAGTTTGAGTTTAAATACAAATGCCCCCTATTTTAGCTTAGAGGTTCTTTAACATTAAGGGCATAAGAATCTAGTAGTAAAATTAGTAGATAGGACTAATAATTAAACACGTATAGAATAACAGATTTTGACAAACAGATGGCCAAATACTAGTAAAAGAAGGCCAATGTTAAAATGTACGTCATTAAAATTCTATCGAATCATACACCACCGTTGAAAAGAAGAGTTAGTCAATACGAATACATTTATCGACATTGTAAACATCGTAGGTATGCCTCAATCACTCAATTAGTTTATTTAGATTGCACAATTTTTTGCACCTACGGCGATATTTGTATCCCAATTACTGTCCGATCTGCTATTTGGACCGTAAGAAGTGTTTCATTAGAATTACTTGTTCTTCCAATTACTTGTTACTTTTAATTCAGCAATCATTTATCTTTTTGGTATACTTTTACTAGCACTATCAAAATCAATCCACCTAGTTCTGGCTTCGCATAATGTTCACGTCATCAATTCGCGCGAAAATCTCGCTGTCGTGTTCTTTAAGGACATACGGCTACTACATTACGTCACCCCGCCTTTTTCTCTTTTCAATGGAATAGCTAGAGATAAACGAACAGACGGATCACTTGACGGTAAGCGATCAGAGGCCTTAGTACGTACGTACGTTATTCGAAACGAGTACGCGTTCGGCACTCTGATTGGCCGGTGCCAATAGACCAACCAATCGGAGCGCCGAACGCGTACTCGTTACGATTGCTTTAAACGTAAAACAAACTCGTGCTAAGCCCTCAGCACCGCTCATGGATGCCACTCCAGCGGAATGAATCGAATGAAAAATATTGTCGATCAATCTAAAAATTTGTTTTTTAAATTCGTAAAATTGACCGCACGGTTGGTGCGATGGCTGGGCAACCGGCTACCGTGCAGCGTGGCGCGGTTTCGATTCCCACACGGAACAACACTTAGTGTGATCCACTAATTGTTGTTTCAGGTGTGGGTGTCATGTGTATGTTAACTTGTATGTTTGTAAACGCACCCACGACACTGGAGAAAATCCTAGTGTGGGGCAACGTTTTTTCAAAGAAAAAGAAAGAAAGAAGATTTGGACCTGACCCAACTGTTCTAACTTACCACCACAGCAATGTCCTTGCCATATCCAAAAAAATTCATAAGCAAAATTTCGTCTTACCTAATTCATAACAAGCTCCAGTTTCATTATGATAATGAGGTAGATGACTCTCGCAGCCACACCTTGGTCCCGGCAGGAATAACTGTCCCTTCTCACAGGGACCTCTTGTATAATGGGGGTAGCAGCTACCATCAGCAGGCCAGTAGTGAGGACCGGAGATTTCACACTGCAATTATTTTTATTTCATTACAAATCCTGTATGTATTATTAGTATTTGACTGCATATTTAATGCGGTGGTTGGGCAACTGTCTGCCAAGGAACGTGTAGCGGGTTCGATTCCCACATGGAGCAACACTTTATGTGATGAGCAAATTGTCGTTTCGGGTCTGGGTCACATGTTTATGTGAAAATATATGTTTATAATGTTTATTACAGTTTCCGAATACCGGGCACGCAGTTTAAAACAATTTAGACCAAATCATAAGGTTCTAGTGAAATAAAATAGAAAGATCATTTAACAAACCCTTGCCATTGTAGTGTCACCAGTGAATTCAAATAACAACGATGTAGCAAGCGTTTCACACATACTACAACAAAAGCAACTAAGTGTTTGATTAAAATACTTACTGAACAATTAGCAATGCCATCTTCTCCAGCTTCCAGTACTGACCCAGGGTAGCAAGGACCTTGAGTACTCCGGTAGTAGCATTTACCGTCAGCAGGCCAGTAGACCAAGGTCTCATCAGCGCACTGTTGAGGTCTCACGCACATACCTTGGCGTTCACTGGAATTCATAATGGCGTATTCTCAGTAGAGCTGCGTAGACGCAGGGGATTCTCAGTTTTGCAATAGTTGTAATGTAATAGAAAATTGTTAGGTAAAGTTGTTCTTGTTAGTCATTTGGTGCGAATTTTGTAAATGTGGTGCAATTTTATATGGCTATAGGCCCCCAATAGGCAATATTACATGGGACTCGTAACATAAATAGTGAAAAGTGAGTGTTACATTCTACATTAGTATAATTTACACCTCTACCTACTTCTTCGGGGATAAAAGGCGTGATGTTACGGTACGGTGCATGGTGCAATTTTTTTTTATTACCCTTGACCTATTTTCAAATTGATTTTACTTGGTAATATTTATGCCCTTTAGCAACAAATGAAGAATTTTAACACTATCAAAACACAACTTTCCTAGACAAACAAACAATGTAAGCTAGGTTTAAAAAGAATACAAATATACCCCTTGACCCATGACATTTCGAAACATAATTTCGTATGTAACTAATCAGAAAAGAGTCAGGTCATAACATAGAATCTTTAGTAGCTAAGCCAGACTATAATAGAGATGCTGCAATATCATGAACCGCATGCTAAAGAGATAGTAGGTATTCTTAGAATATTATATTATTACTTCATTTGAATATAAATGTATAACCGTTGTGCTGAATTATGTCATATTAAATGCAGTGCCGGATTAGCCACGTAGCAAGAGTAGCAAATGCTACGGGCCCCGCGGATTGGAGGGCCCCGCGCTCAAATAGGTATTTCGTAATTACATCACTTCAACAGCAAGACTTATGAAGAAAATGTTTTGTTTACAAAACTACTATCAACCTACAAGTAATTTGATTTTTTTCTTAACGAAATAAACGAAAAAAGACATATAGTCGGTATTTTGTATGTGTAAGAAAAGGACAGTTAGTATTTGTGCGCTTGGTTGGTGCCATTGGCGGGCGAACCGAGCTCGATTTAAACGAATTAAAAATGAATTAAGGAAGACTACGGGCCAAGAACGTAATCATCTCACAATATTGAATATAGAGCATGACTTGCTTAAAAAAGTCGATATTGAAAGTGTAATCGCTAAATTTGCCCATAACAAATCCAGAAAAGTTTATTTGTAACAGTTTTGTTTTATGTAATACCCTAAATAACGACAAGACCAAATTTGTATGGAGCGTGGTGCCTTTTTATTTTTTCGCGGCAGTTTATTGGATGTGTAAAAACTGATGCAGAATAACATTACAAACAAAAAAATA